ATTGTGGAGCACTACCCATAGGGTATAATTGTAGCATCTATATACACCTTAAAACATAAAGGAACATATAAACCTATGTACAGATAAAGGAATAAGGGCAATGTTATTATTATTTCAAAGGATAGTCATTACAGTTTTAAAACATAAAATTAATTAATCATATATAATAGTTATATTATAAAGAAACATGTGCTGAGGTGTAAGAAAAAGTTTAGTATGAACTGGATATATTTACAAATAAAATTTTTAAAATTTAAAAAGTTTGAATTAGTTTTAAATTTTAATTCTATTGGTTAGTTAAAGGTGCTATTCTTACATCAGAATTTAAAATAAAAAGATTATTTTAATAGGGTGTTATGTAAATGGGTTAGGGTTTTGAACAATTCCAACGTATATACATAAGTTTTCCATCACAATTTAAAAATTCCTATTTTATAGACTTCGTCATTATTCTTTAAAGGTACTTTATATATCTTAAAAACTTTAATGAAGCTATATTTAAGTCTTAAATTATCATAAAATAGTAAAATGGTAAAAATAAGGAACTATTTTATTTTCAATTATCACTTATACTGTACTTTTGATCAAGCTTTTATCTTTTTTGTGCGCAGCATGTGCATCTCATAGCACATATTTCTAGCCAGGGTTTCTATTTTTTCATACACAATAGAATAACAGTTTATGTCCTTGCTAGTACAATACATTATGAGCTGGAGTAGATTCCCTTGTATGATCTTCCTGTATGTTGAAGTATCGATTTCATCCATTTTCTGTTTGATTTTTGGGCAATATTTAGATCTTATTTGCTCCAATTCTGTGCAATGTAGAATGAAATGTTCTAGATCTTCATTTTCCTGTTCACTGATTGTACATAATGGGTTAACGTTTGGATCGAACTAAGCTCTTTTGGCTTGGAATATGTACGTTTACTTAGTCTTGCTTTTATATCTCCTGCCTTTACATCTTTAGTATTATTTTTTTACACTTTTCCATATATTGTGAGCTTCATTTAATGAATTGTCCGGTATCTCTATGTATTTAAGCGATGTTTTTCCATTTTTTTCATTGTGACATTCATTTTTCCAGTATTACTTGATCTTTATTCCGATTAGTTTTTTCCGTTCGGTTTTCTTAAGTGGCTTTTCACATATACCTGTGTTGATAATCTTTATAAATAAATTGTTTACAAAGTTTAATCAATTCTAATTTGTTTTTCAAGACATAATCTGCTTGTATTTAACAATATTTTCATTCTTAAAAAAATAATGTGACATACAATGCTTCCTGTCTCCTTTAAAGTATTTACATTCTAATATGTAATGGAATTCATCGCCAATATCATTTTTATTACACAAAGTCTATTATTAAAGTATTCCATCTACCCTGTTCAATGGAGAGCTTGTGGTCCTAAATCTACACAATTCAATAGATAGTTTGATCCAAAAAAGTTCAAACTAATCTTCTTTTGCAAAAAAATCTTTAAAAAGTTTGTAATTAAGTGCTTTTGGTGAGTTTTGAAGCAAAGAATGCCAGACTTGTACAAACTGATCTTTAAGTCTGAGCTTGATGATTGAAACTAACCATTTACAATTCATATATTTATATAATCTAATCAAAATATATATCTCTGATATCGTTATACATATATGAGCATGCGAGTTAATATAGATATAAATTCTAATTAGATTGATATGTATATAAAGTTATATAAAGTATATGATAGAAAAGCCGGGGTGTTAATGTTTTCAGACTTAATAATAATTTACAAAATTTTAGATGTACCCTTTCAATTATGTCATTATTTCCAATACCCCATGATACTTCACAACCGTACAGTAATATTATATATGTTCCGGACCATATGAGTATTTGGACCATACGCGTATGGTCATGACCATTTGCGTATACTCATATGGTCGGACCATATGAGTATATACTCGTTTGGTTATTAACGGGCCGGACCATATGAGTACTAGGACCAAATAGGTATTTTTCAAATATGCAATAAACTTTACTTAAACAACAAAAAAAACAATGATGGTAACATGAACATGTATTAATAAATAATTTAAAGGCTACATAAACGTTCAATATTGATGCCACAGTTAGTTTTCATCACTAATTGTATTCTTGCATGCATGCTTAGGATGACATTTACTTCCACACGGTACCATAGCTTTTCTGCATTTGCACGTCTTGGTTGTGCACGATCCTTTGCAGTTACACCTTTTGCTTGCCAATGAAAAGCTGGCCTTCTTAGCAGCTGCGTGCAGTAATACCGAGGTCTTGGGCCATTCCGATGTGTCTATGGTGTTTTTTAGAAGCTCTAAGTCTCCAATATCGTAACATGACTGCAGTACACCATATTTACAAGACAACTTATAAAAAGATTATGTAGACGACCGAGTCTTTTAACACTTCGTAAAGAGCCTTAGAAGCCTTTTATAAATAAACTGTTTTGTTTTATTAAAATTGCCCGTTCCTATTAGAACTATACCCAAGTAGTTAAATTCATTAACAATATCTAGTTTGTTTTTTTTTCATTAAAGAAAATTGAAATTTACATAATAGTCGTCTCCTTAAAAAAATATGACCTTTGTTTTATCAACATTAATTTTAGCCTCCATACATCTTATAATCTAGTAAACAATCTCAAAGTTTTTGGAGTTCAGTTGCGGATTCGGCCATCAAAACAGTATCATCAGCATACAGAATGATATAAAGTTTTAAAAATATGTCAAATTTTTCTTCAAGCTCTGTTGACACTGATTTCAGTCCCTCTATATATATATATTACATGTTTGCAAAAACGAATCACGATAATTTAAAAAAAAAAAAGAAAAAAGAAAAGGCGATAACATCTATCAATGTATTACTGGTAAATTATTAAGTCAAGGATTTCGTTACCACAAATTGCTAAAAACCTAAGATTTGGTTTTGGAAGTTTGGCTGTACCTGTAGAAAACTTATTGCAAACGGGATAGCATATCCTAATTTTTACGGTGATGTTGTTTACCGAACCCGTGTATTTATAAACGATCCGGGTAAACTTATCGATCCTTTAAATAAACGTATTCTTAAAGGTTACCTAATCAACACTGTAATTAGATCTTTGGATATTAACTTTTTATCGGTATAAATATTGATTTTGTTATCAGTAATTAAATATTATTGTTATACACATATGTACATTCATAGTCTCACAATCTATCTATATCTATATTTTGGCATTGCACAAGGTTATTTTTTTCTCTTACTGTTAATGACGTCTTTACACTAGATCCATTGGATGTTGGAAGTTTACTGATTGATATTTTAGTCTTAGAAACATAATTTTTTCATAGTTGTTATTGGTTTTGAACTTGCTTTCGGTAACTGTGAGAACTCTCAGATCTGTACTTTGTGTCTTTTTATTGTGTTGTTGTTGAGTTAAGCCATTTTCAACTGATTGTTATAGTTTGTTCTTGTGTTGTGCTGTTACACCACTGTCCCAGGTTAGGGGGAGGGTTTGGCGACAGCAAACATGTTTAACCCGCCACATTCTGTATGTGTACTCCCATTTCGGGAGCCCTGTAATTGAGTAGTTGTCGTTTGTTGCTGTATAACATATTTGTTTTTTTTCTTTATTGGTGTGTACATAAACCTGGCCGTTAGTTTTCTCGTTGGAATTGTTTTACGTTTGTTATTTCGGGGCATTTAATAGCTTACTATGCAGTATGAGTTTTGCTGATTGTTGAAGGCCCGTACGGTGACCTATGGTTGTTAAATTTTATGTTATTTGGTCGTCGGTAGAGAGTTCTCTCATTCACACATTGTCTGTGTGTCAAAATTGATATCTTGCGATGGAGATTTGGTCTCTGGTGGAGAGTTGTTTCATTGTCACATCTTCCTGTATCAAAATTGATATATCGCGATGAATTCTACACGAATGTTAAAAATAAAATAGAATATTTACCTGATCGTACTAAAGCAGTGGAAGGTGTTTTCCATACACGTGACCTTGTAATGAAATTGATACATCAGTACCTTCGAAATGTCTAATATCACCTGACCAACATAGCTTGGTTTGTTTAGAAGAATGTTAACTTTTTTTTGTTTTCTACACCCAAAAAGTCTTCTGGTCGGACACACGTTTGGCATTTCTATATATGTCTGCGAATATCGCTTTTATAAATTCGATTTTTCTGATTATTCAAAAACTAATGAAAGAAAGACACTTTTTAAAGAAAAACTTACCAAAACATTGTTATTCATTAACTTGTAGAATTCTCTCTCGAATAAATGTTTGGCCTCCTTTCTTTATAGACTTGAAATCAATATAGGTCTCAACCATGTTGACTGATGACACTCTTCAATCTGGTGATTATTATATAGCAGGGAAAGAGTTTTGTAGCAGATTTCTCCTTTGGTTTTTCAGAGGTCTGACTTTAGCAGATCCCTAATTATATCCTTTATGGACGCTAGAGAGGCTTGTTTGTTAGCTGACTCTGTTTATATAAACCATTATAGTGTTCCTTCTTTACTATCCATATCTTATAAATCCTAGGATTTTTTAGTATACGGATATGGATAGTAAATTGCACATTACTAGAAAACAAAGAAATTTTGATGCCAACGTTAGATAAGTTAATAATGTAATACAAAAATGAAATAGACAGGAATATGGCAAGCTGTTTTAATATTTATTCAAAGATATCTCATATAGTTTATAACTATAAACATTAGAAGATATCTTATAAAGTATATAAGACTATCTTATAAAAACTAGATTATATAAGATATCTTATATATTATATGAGATATCTTGAAGTTCGAATAAATAGTAAAACGGCTTGCCATACAGGAAATACGAAAAAACAATGAAAAACATTGATTAACAAAATTTTAATCTCCTATCCGAGTCCATGTGGTTTTTTTTCATCAAATTATAAAATTTATTTAACATTTGCAACATTCCGGAAACAGTTATGTCCGGATAAGTTTCCTGTGTTTATCATTTAACTAGGACAACCAAAATGTCAAATGAAGTTAACACCGATTTGTTGAGAGAAAGATCTACAGCTACGTTTGATGCTGAAAGGTTAACAGAATTCATTTATAAGGGACCAGACAAAGTTAAGCGAAAACGTCAAATACGTACGTAACATAGTTAGATCTATACTCAGAGGTTAAAATGTAGGACATTCAAAACTTGCACTTCGATCTCTTTAAAATTCCATGACTTTATAATTTGTTCTTCAATTCACAGTTGTGGTGGGTCCGTCAGTTTGCAAAGTATTCCACTCAAATCGGTGCTAGGAGCTGTCTTAACATTGCAGTGAGGTCAGAGTTTTTGCTCTGTTGATTACTATGCCTTAGAGACGAAGAACAGCAATAAAAGTGCTGTTTCTTTGCTTTTGGTATTTTTTTATGTCCATGTACAAATGTCTTCTTCTTCAGTTATACAACAAAACTTCAGGATACTTACAAAAACTAGTGATTAAAATAAAAATTATATACAAAAATTTATTGTCTTGATTTAAATCAGTTGGCAGAGAACACCTTGTGTAAGGTGTGCTCTGAAACTGTAAACTGTGGTTGACTGTACTGTGGCTATAGGTAGCATGTTCCATTGTATGCTGGTGTGTGGGAAAAATGACCACTTATATGTTTCCTTTGTGGTTCGTATATGTCTATAAGTATTTGGATGGTTTTGTCTTGTTCTACTGTCTGTTGGTATTAAAATTTCAGATGGTACCCGGTATGGCAATGAGGCCGTGAATTAATTGTTACCACCCTCTTCAAAATCTAGCTTAACTATGATGAGCTGACCATACTGACAGAGCACTCATAGATGATATGCAATAACTTCAGACTTCATATGCTGCATTTTGTGAAAAAGTGAAGTATCTATGATGCATTTATTTATACATGAATTGAGGTATAATCCACAAATTAATGGTTTTCATAATGCTGCATCAGTCTGGGACTATTATACTAACAATATAATAGTCCCAGCATCAGTACAACTTCCAAGTTTGACTCACATCAGATGAATTGTATATTATAGAAAAGAAAGGATATGCCCGGGTATCCATCCATGACACAAAGTCAGTACATTTACTTCTCATTTACATTAATGACTTCTCTGAATATTTAACACATAGCAAATTAAGACTCTTTGCTGATGACAGCATCATATATAGAGAAATCAAATCTCAATCAGACTGTGATAAATTACAAGAGGATCTACACGCTGCAGCAAAGTGGGAAGCAGATTGGCTTATGGCTTTCCACCCTGATAAATGCACTAAACTTTCAATTTCACATAAAAAGAAACCATATTTACATGATTACATCCTTCATAGTCACATTCTTGAATCCGTTACATCTGCTAAATATCTGGGCGTTACTCTACAATCAAATCTTAAATGGAACCTACATTATGACAACATTATCTCAAACGGCAATAAATCTTTAGGATTCCTTAAAAGAAATTTAAAAATATCAAACACAGACATTAAATCAAGAGCATATCAAGCAATAGTCAGACCTAAATTAGAATACAGCTGCAGTTTATGGGACCCTCACACAAAAGATGCAACCCAAAAAATAGAAATGGTTCATCTATGAGTGCTCTGTCAGTATGGTCAGCTCATCATAGTTAAGCTAGATTTTGAAGAGGGTGGTAACAATTAAGGGTTATTTTCGTGCAACATGATCACTGTTTTTTATTTCATGTTCAACATGTTTTTACTTTTTTATTTGACGTTCAGTTTTGCAAGACAGGTGCCTCATTGAACTTGTTCTGCTTATTTAGTTTTGTGTGCATCCTGATTTTCAAATGCTTATTTTGCAAATCAAATTCAAACACTTGGCAGGGATTTAATTTTGTTTTTTAATAGAGCGGAAAGGCTTTTGATGTTGTTCATTATCATTCCAGTCTTGGTAAGCTATTCTATTATAATCGGCCATCTATAATGACACAATTACCAAACCAATACAAAAGTGTCAAATGGCAGAAAATACAAATTCCGCCATTATTGAGTGTGTCATCTACTACCTATGTCCTGATCATACAAGAGTGTCGACAAAATTTGCTGAGCTTCGACTAAACAAGCCATTATAAATACAATTATAGACTTGCTTATTTTGCCTAACACATTCATGACATTGTTCATAAAGTACTAATAAACTACATCACACTTACATTTTATTGTCTAAACAAATTTGTAACAGGCCATACATATTTTATTTTTGGTCATATTCTTTTGATTTGATTCACATTGCAATAAGTTAAAAATTGTTGTACCATATGCTTCTATAGTCCTCTTGTATGAAAATGTTGATGGATTGCTATATTGCCTTATTTGTCTCTGATTCATGATTGTAATGTTAGAAAACATAAAAAAAATAGATACATGCTTCCTCATTGCTGATTCTTTGAATTTTTTGGTGAAATGAAAAGAATGACTTTAAATAGTATCAACATCTTAACAGTGATGAGCTTTAAAGTGTTTGCACTTTTCATCATCTGTCAGTTTTAACTTTCTATTTCTGATACTTTGAACCACAAGTCGTGGTAGCTGGTGGCATGGCTAATATGACAATGAAATAGATCAATAATACACTTTCATGTCTGCGGGATACTCAATGCATTTTAAAAGTTACGAAAATTGTTATATACTTTTTGAAAAGCTGTAAACCATTTATATCATAAATGTGTATAAGAAATTGGGAATATTTTAAGTAAAACAGAGAGTTTATAAATATACAGGAAGACAGTGAATCAGTCACAAAAGGTTCACATCAAAGTCTTTATTTTTCGTGCAACATTCATGACAGAAATTATTTCACGTTCAACGTGGAATTATGTCTTATTTCACGTTTTTTCCGTGCAAGCACCCCCCTTTTATCCTCTTTGTATGTGCAATAACATACCCATTTTCATTCAAAAATTTATTGTGACGAAAATGTCATTATTCCTCAATTGGCCTATCTCAGTTTATATCAAACAGATGATTATGTGTGAATTGAGGTTATAATCCACCAATTAATGGTTATTCCTGATCAAGGTACATGTACAGAGGAAGGATAAATTATCATTCTACATGTATATTTATTATTATAGCAACAGTCCAGATAATCATGGTGTCTGCTGAGGATATTTTTCCTTGGCTTGGACAAACATTTGTCTATTTGTCTCAAATTTTTGCGTTTAGGTTTTTCAAAGAGGCTTCAAAGTGAAAATTAAAAAAAGAAGCCTTCCAAGGCATCACAAGTCACTAATTATTTGAAATAATTGTCTAGCCTTTGACTGGAAAGAGAGGGGAAATCTATCATAGCCTTTTCATTTAGAAAATTATCAATAACAACACATCATGAAAAGCTTCAACTTGCTTCTTGAAAATGGTTTAATTGCCACCAAATTATTCACCACAGCAGAGTATTCCCTCCCTTAGTTTGTTCTAAAGTAGGTAAAATAATGTCATACAACACATTTCTATATTTAAATTTATAACATTTTTAGCACCAAAAATCAATTGTGTTTATTATTTATGAATATTAATTTGTTCTTTTTTATTTTAGAAAACTTAGTCCTCCAAGACAAGTTTTTACAAAGTTTTAAGCCATCAGAATTTTACGACAGAGATGCTCAATATAACAATGCTGTGCGACGTCAGATCTATATTATGGATAGAATGGAAGAACTGGGATTAAAATCAGAAACTGACAGACAAAAGTTTAGAGAGTAAGAATGTATACAAAAATGTTAATCATTTTCTTATCCCCAGCCTGGGACATACATGTAATAAATAGTCAGTATACTATTCCCAGCACAGCCGTAATGGGATACAACAATAAGGTCTGTCTGTCTGTCTTGTTTATATGATAATTGACTATAGCTGCCAGTATTTTTATAATACATTTTAGTGTTCTCGCTAGTATCTGAGGGCAGAGGTGCACAGTTTAAGAAAAAGGGCACTTATGTGTAGCAATCTTTTTTTACAACAGATTTTTCTGTTAACATTGACAAATATAAATGGACCCTTTATTAAAAGCCCTGTTCATTGATAATTTTCTATGTTTTCTATGTATTGTGTGCAATTTTGTCCCATGTATGATGATTTACTCCATATCCTTTCATTTTCCTTTATTGTCCCCCGCACAACATAGAAATACCAGGCGTCCGTCCCGTGTAAATATTTTTAAAGAGTTATGCTCCTTCAAAATATTAATTTTATCAGAAATTGCATTGCATTTACTCTCAAGCCTTCATTTCTCTAAGATATTTATAAAAAAATTTAAAGAACAACACGGGGGACATTTGAACTCTTTTTTTTTTTAAAAGACTATAAAACTTTCTTCTTGCAGAGATATGTGAGTTTCATTTGCCTTATTAAAAAAAAATTGTCCACTGAGACTATTGCCTTTTTTCAAGTGTTATTTATTTGTCCAGATATGTCATTAGTTCAGAAATAAAGATGTCTAGCATGTTACATTATTGTAAGTTAGTTGGGGATGTCAATCCAGCTACACAGAAATATATCACGCTCTGAATCTCACAGAAGATAGAGTTTATTTGTTTAGATCCTGCACACCATCCAGGGGCGTAGCTACCTTCTTAATGAAGTGGAATCACAAACTAAAGGGCAAAGGGTCTGGCGCAGCCTGATACCTCCAGTTGGTTCAGGGAAAAGCCCTTGTATGCGGACCAGGGGGGTAAAGCCCCCGGAAGCTTGGCATATAAAGCGTTTCAATACAATCACAACCGTAAAATAAGTTTTGTACATTTTTGTTGTGTTTTTTTTGTCAACTATTTGTTTAACTTTGAGTTGAATAATGACCAAACATTGTTGTTTGCGTTTTTTTTTGTACGCGGTCACCAGAGCTTTTAAAATCACGAAGATTTGTTCCATATACTAGTATTTGTATTGAGCAAAGTAGATGTACAAAATGTATAAAAAACAAATTATAAACATGAGCACAATGCTATATGTGGAGTTTCTGTTAGCATAAACATATAAAAACATTCAATCTTTTGAATTTCATACTTGAAGAATATCAATTCTGGTCAGAAAAAGAAACTCCAAACGACGTTTCTTCCAAACAGCAAATGCGTCAATCACTTTCTCAATGTCAATTCCCAATATTAAAATAAGAAGATGTGGTATGATTGCCAATGAGACAACTCTCTACAAGAGACCAAATGACACAGAAATTAACAAATATAGGTCACTGTATGGCCTTTAACAATGAGCAAAGCTCATACCACATATTCCGCTATAAAAAGCCCTGAAATAACAAATGTAAAACAATTCAAACAAGAAAACTATTGGCCTAATTTATGTACAAAATAATGAACGAACAACAAATGTGTTACATAGCAACAAACGACAAACCACTGAATTACAGACTCCTGACTTGGCACAGGCACATACAGAATGTGGCGGGGTTAAACTAGTTTGTTGGTGCCAAACCCTCCCCCTAACCTGGGACAGTGGTGTAAATTAAAATTGTTACGACACATCATAAGAACAAACTAAGCAAAACAATAAACGAAAAACAATTATGAGAAACAGAAAAATCTGACAACCACTCAATTACAGGCTCCTGACTTGGGACAGGCACATATACATGTAGAATGTGGCGGGGTTAAACTACCTTGAAGGCGCCAACCCTCCCCCTAACTTGGGACAGTGGTGTAACAATACAACGTAAGAACAAACTATAAAAATCAGTTGAAAAAGGCTTTCTCTAAATATACTACCGAAATTTACCCAATAGAACTTACTTTAATTAAATCTAACATAAACAGCAGTAGTTGTCCTTTTCTGGATTTGGACGTTTCAATCTCTAAAGGAAAACTCAATACAAAAATTTACGACAAAAGAGACAATTTTTCATTCCCTATTGCTAATTTTCCTTTTTTAGACGGCGATGTTCCTTTGGCTCCATCATACGGTGTATATATATCCCAACTCGTTCGTTATGCCCGTGTGTGTAGTGATGTCATAGATTTTAACGAACGTAATCAATGCATCACAGGTAAATTATTAAATCAAGGATTTCGTTACCATAAATTACGTAAAACTTTTGCTAAGTTCTTTCATAGATACAAAGATTTGATTAGTAAATTTGGCTGTACTTGTAGAAAACTGATTAAAAACGGTATTTCACATCCTAAATTTTACGGTAATATTGTACTTAAAGCGCAGAAATCACTATGTGATCCGTGTAAACTCATCGAACCTTTAAACAAACTTATTAGTAAAGGTTATCTTACCAATGTTGTAATTAGATCTTTGAATATAGTTTACATTGGCACTAATATCGATTTTGTCATCAGCAAATTAAAACATAACTAAATTTGTATTTTTTTTCAAGTGTGATGTATAAAGACACACCCACGTTCGTTTATATCTATAGAGAGGTTAAACTCCTAACTATCCTACTGTCTGTAGATACAATTTATTTTTGGCATTGCACTAGTCATGTCTTCTTTGACTGTCCATGACGTTAAAATACTAAATCCCTGGGATGTGTTTTAGTTGATTTTAGTCTCTGATGCATGATTTTTTATTATTAATTGTTTTGGCTTTTAACTAGCTGTCAGTAACTGCGAGTACTCTCAAATCGTACTTTCTTGTTTATTTGACCTGTTGATACTAATTGTATTGCTTTTTATATGACCGCAAAAAAATTTTTGTGGTCGTATATTGGTATGAGGTTGACGTCGTCGTTGTCATCGTCGTTGTCGTCCGAAGACACATTGGTTTTCGCACTCTAATTTTAGTTTAAGTGAATGCATCTCTATGAAATTTTAATACAAGGTTCAATACCACAAAAGGAAGGTTGGGATTGATTTTGGGGGTTATGGTACCAACAGTAAAGGAATTGGGGGCCAAAAAGGGGCCAAAAATAAGCATTTTTGTAACTTCTAGACATAACTTGTGTGTTAGTGTATGGATCTCTCTGACATTGTACCACAAGGTTCCATATCACAAAAGTAATGCTGGGATTGATTTTGGGGGTAATTGCCTCAAAATTTTAGGAATTAGGGGCCAAAAAAGGGGCAAAAAACAAGCATTTTTCTAGTTTCATGACAATAACTTGTGTGTAAGTGTATGGATCTTTCTGAAATTGTACTACAAGGTTCCATATCACAAAGGGAAAGCTGGAATTGAGTTTGGGGGTAATTGCTGAAACGTTTAGGAATTGGGGGCCAAAAATAAGCTTTTTTTTAGTTTCCAGACAATAACTTGTGTGTAAGTGTATGGATCTTTCTGAAATTGTACTACAAGGTTCCATATCACAAAGGGAAAGCTGGTTTGAGTTTTGGGGTAATTGCCCTAAATGTTTAGGAATTTGGGTCCAAAAAGGGGCCAAAAAACACATTTTTCTAGTTTCCAGACAATAACTTGTGTTCAAGTGTATGGATCTCTCTGAAATTGTACTGCAAGGTACCATACCACAAAGGAAAGGCTGGGATTGAGTTTGGGGGTGATGAATCATAAGGGGGTTCAAAAAATTTGTGGGGGGGATTTTTTTTTTCCTTTTTTTTTTCTTTTAAAATTTTCCATTTTAAGTTGGTTATTTCTGATTTATATTTAAAAGCAAATAATAATGATATGGTAGGAGATTCACACCAAACAGAATGTGTAAATTATTATATAATAAGTATTGTGCAATAGCAAGAAATTTTCAATTGCACAGTATTGCACAATAGCAAAAAATCTTCAATTGCACAGTATTGCGCAATAGCAAGAAATCTTCAATTGCACAGTATTGCGCAATAGCAAGAAATATCCAATAGCACAATATTGCGCAATAGCAAGAAATTGTCAATTGTACAGTATTGCGCAATAGCAAGAAATATTTAATTGCACAGTATTGTGCAAAAGAAGATACTTCATATAAATTGCTTATTACTTGACCAATTTCAATGGGGTTTTATTCTTGAATTCTTGGGGTTCTTTAATATGCTGAATCTAACCGTGTATTTAGTTTTTGGATTTTGGGCCCCGTTTTTAAATTGGTCCACATTGAGGTCCAAAGGGTCCAAAATTAAACTTTGTTTGATTTCATCAAAAATTGAATTATTGGGGTTCTTTGATATGCTGAATCTAACCGTGTATTTAGATTCTTAATTTTTGGTTCCGTTTTCAAATTGGTCAACATTAAGGTCCAAAGGGTCCAAATTAAACTTAGTTTGATTTTAACAAAAATTGAATTCTTAGGGTTCTTTGATATGCTGAATCTAAACATGTATTTAGATTTTTGATTATGGGCCCAGTTTTCAAGTTGGTCCAAATCGGGGTCCAAAATTAAACTTTGTTTGATTTCAACAAAAATTGAATATATGGGGTTCTTTGATATGCTGAATCTAACCATGTATTTAGATTTTTTATTTTTGGGCCCCGTTATCAACTTTGTCCACATTGAGGTCAAAAGGGTCCAAAATTAAACTTTGTTTGATTTCATCAAAAATTGAATTCTTGGGGTTCTTTGATATGCTGAATCTAACCATGTATTTAGATTTTGGATATTGGACCATAATAGATGAATGTCCAATTTAAAATTTTTAAGTTCTTAGACCACATTTATTCTGTGTCAGAAACCTATGCTGTGTCAAATATTTAATCACAATCCAAATGCAAAGCTGTATCAAGCTTGAATGTTGTGTCCATACTTGCCCTAACTGTTCAGGGTTCGACCTCTGCGGTCGTATCAAGCTGCGCCCTGCGGAGCATTTTATTTGTTATTTAATGTTATTCAGGGTTATATCTGGTCTATATACCAGCTTTGATAAGTGTTTGGTATAACTATAAATTTTCACTTCGTACTATGCATGAACTTCAAAATTATTTATTTTGTATAAATATTTCCTTTCTCTATTGGTACTGTACACTTATACCTAACAACAAAATTTTTTTCATTTACCTGTGTTTAAAGTTATTGCAAATGGCTGATATTTTTGTTAGAGCATATTGTTTTTCTTTAATTGTTTAAAATTTCTTACTGATATAACATGTTACTTTTATTATTCTTCCCTTAGTTTATTTATTTTGTATTTACATTGTGTCATAGGTCAAATTTATTTGTTCAGTGTATGTTCAATGGTGTTATTATGTCTTTTGATTGAGTTAAGCTATTTCAGTTGATATTTTATAGTGTGTCTTTCTATGTTGTGATGTTACACTATTGTTTCAGAAAAAGGGTGAAGGTTTGGTACCATTAAAACGTTTAAACCCGCTGCATTTGTTTGCACCTGTCCTAAGTCAGGAATCTGATGTTCAGTAGTTGTCGTTTGTTGATGTGGTTCATAAGTTTTTCTCATTTCTCGTTTTTTATATAGATTAGACCGTTGGTTTTCCCGTTTGAATGGTTTTACACTAGTAATTTTTTGGGGCCCTTTATAGCTTACTGTTCGGTGTGAGCCAAGGCTCCGTGTTGAAGACTGTACTGTGACCTATAATGGTTTACTTTTATAAATTTTGACTTGGATAGAGAGTTGTCTCATTGGCACTCATACCACATCTTCTTATATCTATTAACTCATCAGATGGATACAAATAGAAATACATCTAACAAAAATAGAGTGGACGCGGCAGGCTACTTACATATCCCCACAACAAAAAGACACTATTAAAGTACAATGTTTGTATGGGTGAAGGATGGATCGACTAGAAAATCTTTCTGTATGCATTGTTTTTTGCAACATTTTCCTTTAATGTTTTTGTCAGCAAATCTAGTTTCACTCTGTCTTGTTGTAAATATTCTATGGAGATATTGCCAATATCTGGATAAGGAGGGTGGTTAGATGAAGACGGAGTTGACGAGTCAGTTAGTGTGGGGGGCGTCGCTATTGCATTGGATATTGAACTTTGTGGAGTTGTGATCATCTGAGCCTCTTCCTTCAGAACACTAAGTAGATGAGTGACTTTTAATTTTATTTTGGTTCGAAATAAGAAAATATCTTTTTCTGCATGACTCTAACAGCTTCATCAACACTTGTTATTATACTGTGGATAGAAGGAGAAGACACAGTCTCCCAACGTTAAACAAATATCATGTCCCATAATAGATGCATAATGTTAATACCCCTCCCACTCTGTCCGATTGACCAATTCATATATGTTAACTTTGTCCATCTCTCTTTCTCTCTCTGTTTTTTTTTTTTTTTTTTTTTTTTGGCGAAAACGACATGGATGCATGTGCTGTGGTGCCCCCGGGTAGCTACACCCCTGCCATCTTTATGCTCTCAGTAAACAGCCTGCACTTACTTCTTTGGTTTTGAACAAAATATTATGGTTTACTAAGAAAAATATTTTTAATCAAAAATCTTTATAAAAAACAAAAAAATCAATTACTTGGAAATATACTGGCTCAAAACATAAAATTAGCCTAAATTGCAAATTCTGTTTGATAAGATGAAAAATTTCTGCATAAATGTAACTTAGCTATTACATGTATTAAGGGAAAAGTTGTAGTTAAGAATTTAGAATTCAGTCAAATAGCAGCTATCATGGCTTTTTTTTCTTAATTGAAATAAATGGATAAATTTAAATGTGGACATTGCTTCAGACTTTTTGAGAACAAGGCAATTGATCAATTCCCCTGGCATCTTCTTGGTTAAGCAAGCTCACCTTGAGTGGGGTATTCATAGTTTTAAAGTTTAATCGCAACTGTGTCAAACCAAAGACTTCTAAATTTGTATTTGTTGGTTCAAACTTGAGCTGTCATTACTGTTCTTGATCAATAAGAGGAGACATTTCCATAGCATGTACACAGGAAACAAATATAGAAAGAATTTTATTGTTGACAGTAACACCTCTAATTTCATATCATCATGTCATAGATACATGGGCTAAATGCAGCAAACAGTATGATGGTAAAAACAAAAGACTATATAAAAAGAGAGTGGGTGAAAAACTATGATATATCAAAAATGAAACTGAATAACCCACAGGTAGACGTTTCAACATACCTTGATATTCTACTTTGACTTTCGAAATCATAGAAGTCTTGAGCTTGAATAATTCAGAGAGGACTACTGAGGGTCTGTGTAAGGGGTCCTTCTTTTCTGTTTCTTTAATTTTTTAGGCCATTTTTCTCTATTCTTTATACTTTTTGCCCATTATTCTCTATTCTTTATATTTTAGCACCTCATTCATTATTTTTGATATTCTTTAATTTTTTGGTCCATTTTTCTCTATTCTTTATATTGTGTGCAAATTATTCTCTATTCTGTAAACCCCAATCCACACCCTCACTACTGGATTCTACAACTTAGGACATTTAAACTCATAGGAATTAATAGCTTGGAAAGTTCAAACTATCAGTGTGATGACTCTATACTTTCTAAACATAAGTAATTCACCCGTGTTAATTTTTGTATATGTTTTGTTAAAGGGTTGCAGCACCTGTTGAATTGAGTCCATTTGGTTTACATTCTGGTATGTTTGTTCCTACACTGGAAAGACAGGGTACCCCAGAACAGTGCAGGAAATGGGTTCCATTAGGGAAAAGTTTCAAGATGATTGGCACTTATGCTCAGACAGAACTAGGACATGGTAAATAAAGCATATTTTTATTGGATGGCATATCACATAAGCATAAATTTTGTCATGTGCATTTTGATGACAACAAATTAAAAATATGAAGAAAAATAACAGAAATTGTCCAAGAAAGCTTATTTAGAATTTTCACTTTTATATTCACTAATTAGATTAAATAAAGTCCTATAAATCTTTGTAAGATGGACATCGGATGTACAGGAGGTAAAAAAAATTCAAAGGTCACAAAACACAGGGTGGTGAATGACAAAATTCAGTCATTAGTGGTGCAGAGCAGATCAATAACTGCAAGAACCACACTTGAATTTGCACTGCTTTAGTGATACAGTTTAATGTAAGAAAAAAATGAAAGTTTAATGCTTGTGCAGTTATTATAATAATGAGGATAATTCCTTTCTTATGTATTTATGGTCCATTTTAAATTCTCTATCAAATAAGATGCCATTGGAAATAACAGTATTTTATTTTTTTTGTCGAGCCTTTGACTTTTGTCGAAAAAGCGAGACATAGCGATCCTACCTTCTGTCGGCGTCGTTGTCGTCGGTGGCGTCCACAAATATTCACTCTGTGGTTAAAGTTTTTGAAATTTTAATAACTTTCTTAAACTATCCTGGATTTCTACCAAACTTGGTAAGAAGCTTGTTTATGATCATAAGATAATATTCAAAAGTAAATTTTGTAAAAAAAAAATTCCATTTTTTCCGTATTTTACTTATAAATGGACTTAGTTTTTCTGCCAGGAAACATTACATTCACTCTGTGGTTAAAGTTTTTGAAATTTTAATAACTTTCTTAAACTATCCTGGATTTCTACCAAACTTGGTAAGAAGCTTGTTTATGATCATAAGATAATATTCAAAAGTAAATTTTGTAAAAAAAAAATTCCATTTTTTCCGTATTTTACTTATAAATGGACTTAGTTTTTCTGCCAGGAAACATTACATTCACTCTGTGGTTAAAGTTTTTGAAATTTTAATAACTTTCTTAAACTAACCTGGATTTCTACCAAACTTGGAAAAAAGCTTGAATATGATCATAAGATAGTATCCAGAAGTAAATTTTGTAAAAAAAAAAATCCATTTTTTCTGTATTTTACTTATAAATGGACTTAGTTTTTCTGCTAGGAAACATTACATTCACTCTGTGGTTAAAGTTTTTAAAATTTTAACAACTTTCTTAAACTATCCTGGATTTGTACCAAACTTGGACAGAAGCTTGTTTATGATTAAAACCTAGTATCTAGAAGGAAATTTTGTTAAAATTTTGTTCCATTTTTTTCGTATTTTACTTATAAATGGACTTAGTTTTTCTTCAAGTTAACATTACATACAGTCTGCAGTTAAAGTTTTTAAAACATTTATTACATTCATAAACTATCCTGGATTTTTACCAAACTTGGACAGAAGCTACTTACAATCAAAACATAGTATAGAGAGGAATATTTTTATTAATTTTTTTCCTCATTTTTGTTGAGCCTGTGATTAACAGCAAAAGTAGGCGAGACACTGGGTTCCGCGGAACCCTTACGAATTTTTTTTTTTTTAAATTTCAACCACTTACAGAGTACTTAATTTAGTGTGTTGTCAGTTTATCAGTAGAACATTGAATAGGTTTACTTACTGTATTCCTTTCTTGACAAACAGCTGCACATTTGAACATTTAAAAGGGCATATTTGAATTCATGGATGGTCTTAACTATCTTAAAAATATTATTGGGTGAAAGTTTGAATTATTTTGTAATTGGTTAAAGCTATAAGAAATTTAATATACCATAAACAAAGGCAATAATTATGCTGTGTAAACGTTTCAAATGGAGATACAATTTTTGGTATGAATAAAAGGAATTACCTAAATAAATTCTGTATTTCCATCATTTTCTTTTATGAAATGAACTATAAAACATGCAAATTTCTTGCTTCACTATCAAACAATAAGATTTGAAAAATGATTTCACTTTTTCAGGAACTTTCATCAGAGGTTTAGAGACGACAGCAACCTTTGACCCTGAAACACAAGAGTTCATACTAGACAGTCCTACTCTTAGCTCTATCAAGTATTGGCCTGGAAATGGTAAGTATGCTTACAAATGGATAAAATATGTCTTATCATCCTGTTATTAGTACAATGAAAGTATCACATGATTGCAAATTTCTTTATTGACCCCAAACTCACTGATTGAAAACTCAGTTACATGTATAGTCCTTATCCAAAGAGATTCAACACTTTTTTTATCTATTTGACAACAAACACCATAAAGACAACATGTCTGGATATATCAGTTACAGTATTTTAAGGGAAAATAAGAACATTCCAAAGAGAGATGTCTTATAAGTTATAGAAGGACAGAAAGCTAATATTTAAACAAAGAAAGGTGAGGCAACTATCAAAAGTTGACACAACTTTACAGAATAAACTTAAGAAAGGAATTGTAATGCACATTGAATTTCAGGTCCCATTATCAAACAAAAAGATTTGAAAAATGTCTTCACTTTATCAGGAATTTATAAAGGAACTTAAAGGAAAAACCTACACAATCATGTGACCAATGAAAATCTGAAGAGGACACAAAAGGCTGTTTATTAATAAGAGATGTCACCTGGATCTGTCTAATATTTGACAGATGATATTTTCTTTGAAGAAATGTAAAATGTTTAAAATGTATTTCTTGATGTTATAGTGGCAAAAACAGTAAACCATTGTTTGGTCATGGCACAGCTATATACACAGGGAAAATGTCATGGAACTCATTTGTTTCTGGTACAAGTTAGAAATATGGAGGACCATACAATAATGCCTGGTTTGTTAAAAATTACTTTTTAGATATTTAGATTTACAAAAATCATACTATATTTATAATATAATACACTTTTGATCTGTAATGAAACTATAAAAACTGTAGGATACTAGAATTATACCATTTTGCTTAATATTGGGATTGTTATATATATACACACCAAAAAGTGTCAAAATTTTGTGATAATCCAGATTTCTACTGGAGACTTATTATTTGTTTGAGTAAGTGTAGGTAACATTCAAAAAGTGCTTGTTGTGATAGAATTATTAAATCCTATAGTTACAAGTCGACGCACCTGGTCCTTTTTGGAGGTCATGCAATTCCCTTAGTTTTTGTCTCGCCTTGACGGAGTCAAAAAGCAAGACAAAGGTATGCTGTTTGAGGCGGCAGTGGCGTCAACAATGTATTAGTTTGTGATTAGGTCAGTTTTGTGGGGAACCACTAGTGGTAAGTCAATAATATTTGATATACAGTTGAATTAGCATTGGCACATCTTATTTCCATGGAGATTATTTTGCCCTGCCCCTCAGTCATGGTCTATTGACTTTGAAACTTTTGCTTAGTTTACATGTATAAGTATGTGATTAGGTCAGTTATTGGGGAACTTCTAGTGGTAGGTCAATGATATTTGGTATGTATATGTTTTAGCATTGGCAGATCTCATTTCCATGGAGATTGTTTGGCCCTGTACATTCAGTCATTGTTTATTGACTTTGAATATTTTGCATAACTTACATGTTAAAGTATTGCTATTTTAATTTCAACATTTGCATTTTACTATCAAAATGACAAAAAGGCGAGACATATCTTTGTGTTAACAGTTTATTTGTTTTTAGCTTGATTTGTACATTGTATCTTCTTTAAATGGATATGTGAGAGTTGAATATCAGTTAACTATGAACCTCAAATTTATAGTCCTGAGGCTTATTGTGTTAATTTGAGGAGTCTGCATCAGTTAATGCAGCTGAACAAACAGGGCAATAAATGAGATTAGACATAAGTTTAGCGATCACCCTACAGACTGAGGCCCAATGAAGTGAGATTTGCCCTCAGCCAAAAATTTACCGGGTAAGCATGTTGTAAATTTGAAATAGTATTTATAAAAGGAGATGTCATATAAATGTCAATGAGATAACATTGTTGCAATTTAAGTTTGCTAAAATTTATACTGTTGGTCGCTATGCAACTTCAACCATGATTTGATAGCTGCTTTCACCATACGACGATTGTAGAATAGACCCCAGTAAAAGAGGCAGTAAATACTGGGACTTTTAAATCATATCAACAGATTGGAGTTCTTGATTTTACGGCAGCATCTTTTCTAGATAACCTTATTAATTTTGAGGGTTTTTTGCAGGTCTAGAAATTGGGGATATTGGACCAAAGTTTGGTTTTGATGGTGTAGACAATGGTTTTATAAGGTTCAATAAATACAGAATTCCCAGAATGAATATGTTAATGAGATATGCTAAGGTAACCAACAAGTAATGATTAGAATTTGCATAGGTTTGAACTCATGAAAGTTTGTTATTTAGAATTTCTGACATTTTCGCACTCACAAATTGAAATAAATAAGAAAAACTTAATATAATCGATATGAGGTCCCAGTTTATCTTCCATCAACTCTTACAAAACCTTAATTAATGCAGTCCTATTTCAAAAAAATGAAAATTTCCATTCAAGCAAAATAAGATATTTTTGAAATGTCATTATTTTGCCACTGTAACTTTGATTATGGCACATCATTTAAAAATTTACAATTTAGATAAAAAAAAATCCAAAAAGGAAACACAAAAAATTGAATATACGTGTAGTCGGGGATAATAAAGCAAAGGAGTAGGTTTGATAAGGCCTCTATTTCTAGCTGAAATTTCATATTATGATTTATTGACCAATATCACAATTAATTATAGTTAAAACTACCACTAGGTATTATGTCTTTTTGTTTGAAAATTTACATATTAGGGTGACATCACAAATAGCACACATATTGATTTTTCATGAAAATTCAATGAAGACATGTCAGTTTCCATACGTTTTTTGGACTGAAAACATAGAGTTCATGCATCAACAAAAAAAGATCTTTTATCATTATGTTTGCTTTAACAATTAATATATCTGATTTGAAAGTTATTTTGTTGAAGCTTGCGCTCTATGTTTCTTAGGCTTAAATATGGTTGAAATCCAGACGATTTTGTCAACTTTCACCAAAAAACTTTTAAAATATTTGGCCTATTTTAGGTATAATTTCAAAGTTGTATTAGAATACCTTGACAAAAGTAATTATTCAATTTCACTTTCCTACCTTTTCATCAACTTGAAACATTTTCTTTATGCATGCAGATGTCATTTGTTTTAGCTTTATTTCAATAATTCAGCTTGCATTGTTTATCAAACTCTTACTGCAATTATGAAAATGTATTCATACATAGAATATTCATTGAATTTTTGTTTACCCTTTTAATGGGTCCTGTCTATAGGGGACATTATGTTTTATTATACTTCATGTCAAAATTCCAGATTTTGATTGGTTAATACGAGGGAGACAATTCACTCTATCCTATGGTAAATACTCTATTACCCTTCACGAAGACACTTGATCAAGTGTGCGCTTTATTAAATATGGATGGTTGTTACAAGACGTCATAGTTTATTACTTTGAATTTGAAATTTAATAGACAGTAATAACAGAACATTCAGTATAATAAATTAAATAACACATATCTGAGAGGGTGATAGAGCAGATTGTTACCCCTTGAAAAGACATTGTCAACCTTGGCTCCGCCTCAGTTGACAATGTTTTCTCGGGGTAACAACCTGCTCTATCACCCTCTCAGCTATGTGTACTTTATATAGTACTGTCTATAGGCCTGTTTTGTATCAGGTTAAAGTTTTGGTTTAAGGTAGTTTAATGTGACGTTGTGGGCACATCAACTGGAAACTTAGTAGACATGTTAGTTATGATTATGGTGTAAATTTTTAAAAATATTTGCCAAATTAAGATTTTGACCAAGATTTTTAGAAAATATGATAGTGTAAGCAGGCATTTTTTCCTTTTGATGCAAATTCTTGTTACATTTAATCCTTAATCTTTTCTCAAATTTGATATATTATATTTGTTTTTCCTTTGAAGGTGCTAGAAAATGGTGACTATATAAAACCAAAGAATGCTAAGTTGACATATGGTGCTATGGTGATGGTTAGAGTTATGATTGTTATGGATGCCTTCAAAACTTTGTCCAAGGCCACGGTTATTGCTATAAGATATAGTGCAGTCAGACGACAAAGTGAACTCCGACCAGGGTATTTCAATATTCAAAACTAGGTCTGATGAAGTTCTAAATAATTTTATTTATTATTGTGCAAAATTGATATATTAGATAAATTTACATACTTTGATAAGTTATCTTTGATATATTCACTAGCATTTATTATTCTAAAATAAATTTTCAGAAAATTCCAATATCTTGACTTAAGCATTGACTGAATCCATATGACATCTATTATAAAGTTATAAATATTATAGTATCATTTGTCATTAATCTTTGATTGTCACATACTGTGGATTTTTTTATTTTTGTGGGTACCTATAGATAATTTTATCTTTGTTGAAAATTTTAATTTGTAGTTCTTTGTAGTTGTTGTTATATCCAGGAAATCCACAAAAATTGGACTCTCAAAGAATAATATTGAATCAACAGTGCATGTAATTTCCTGATTTTGTTTTAAAGAGGAGAGGAGGCACAAGTGATGGATTACCAGACACAGCAGTATAAGTTATTCCCCTTGTTAGCTACTTCCTATGCATTTCTATTGGCTGCTGAAGGGATGAGTCACATTTATGCCAAAATTAGTAGTGACATTGAAAGAGGAAATCTTGAGGACATGCCACAGGTATGTATGAATATTGAAACAAAAGGTTTTGTTATACCTAGTGTGTTAATACTTTATAACCTTTGTCATTAAATAAAAAGAAAAATGTCAATGTTAGGTAAATGTCAATAAGATATATAAATATCAATTTAAGTTTCATACATTTAACTCCTTGATTTACACATGAATTGACAGCTTACAGAACCTGTTCTAATTTCTATTTTGAAATATCAACTGAAAAGTTCAGTTGCAATGCTGAGGTTTTACTTTGAGAATTGTATCCAAATCTGACACTAACTTCTTGTCAATTGACAAATGAACATAAAAGTCTTTGTTGTTCAAGGGGTTTTAACTTTTGGTATATTAAAAATTTCCCACAAGCCATTGTACTTATCCTTTGGACAGATTATTTATAGTCATGCCATTTGTATGATGATCCAGGGAGAGAAGTATTGTCTTACAATGAAAACACTCACATAAGTTTTTTTCCAGTGTAAACCTGCATGTTAATTGGATTTAAAGGTTTAGTATTCCTACAGTAGAATTTGTAACTCCTGTAGAATTATCTCCCTTTAATCAGGTTGAAGGTAGTTGAATACACACATGGATCCTTTTCTCATTCTTATTATTTTATTTGTGGATAGATACAAGCAAATGCCATATTTTCTGCTTACATGGCTGTATCAGAAAACCTAAAAAGTGTATTTTATGCTGCCTTATCATCCAAAGCAAATTCTCACAGCATCCACAAAAAAATTGGTGAACAGTACAATAAAAAATTTAACTTTTTCATAACACTATCTAAACATAAGGCATTAAACAACTATAAACATTGCTATATATATATGCATCTTAGTTTAGATTTCCTAATGGTATTAAGTGATCAAGATATTCAGCATTTCTTAATAATTTTGTTAAGTTTCACACCATTACCATATATGGTCTATTATTGACTATTGTCAAGATTGCATGTAATGAAGTAAGCATTGTGGATTTAGCAGACATAACTGATAGCCAACCTTCCAATTTTTCAGCTCCATGCTCTTGCATGTGGACTGAAAGCATTCTGTACATGGGTTGGCTGTGAAGGAATAGAGGTGTGCCGAATGAGTTGTGGTGGTCATGGTTACTCACACGCTAGTGGTATTCCCAAGATTTATGCTAATATTGTTGGATCTTGTACATATGAAGGAGAAAATACTGTGATGATGCTGCAGACTGCCAGGTAGGTTATAACTTAAACCATAAACCATAACGTGTTTTGGCTGGTATTAGGATTATTCAATAAAATTGAGAATGGAAATGGGGAATGTGTCAAAGAGACAACAACCCGACCATAGAGCAGATAACAGCCAAAGGCCACCAATGGGTCTTCAATGCAGCGAGAAACTCCCGCACCCGGAGGCGTCCTTCAGCTGGCCCCTAAACAAATATGTATACTAGTTCAGTGATAATGGACATCATACTAAACTCCAAATTATACACAAGAAACTAAAATTAAAAATGATACAAGACTAACAAAGGCCAGAGGCTCCTGACTTGGGACAGGTGCAAAAATGCGGCGGGGTTAAACATGTTTTTGAGATCTCAACCCTCCCCCTATACCTCTAGCCAATGTAGAAAAACAAACGTACAACAGTATGCACAGTAAAACTCAGTTCAAGAGAAGTCCGAGTCCGATGTCAGAATAGGAAACAAAAGAAAATAAACAAAATGACAATAATACGTAAATAACAACAGACTACTTGCAGTTACTGACATGCCAGCTCCAATGCATAAATAATATATGAATCATAAATAATGTACAATTATTTACATAGACAAACCCCTTAGAAAACGAAATTTATCACAGTTGCCTTGCCTTTAACCATAAATGCCTTCCTAAGAATATGAGATAGGAATTGACATGTAGTTAATTGAAACACAATGTATTTAATAAAATATATAATTAAATATGAATTATTGAAATTTTTTGTAGATATCTATCAAAGTGCTACTTCCGAGGTCAGAGAGGGGAATCTTTACCAGAACTTATACAGTATCTGACTACAGATCTAAATGTCAAATCAACGCTTGGTGAAGACTGTTCATTTGAAAGTTTAGTAGCAGCCTACTCCCACAGAGCAGCAAGGTAATACCTTTTCTTGGCACATGACAGGACATATTGTAAAGTTATGTTTTGCAGTGTTGAAATTCACAATTTCTATGGCAAAACTTAATTTTTAGGTTTTACTTTGTCTTCTCCCTTATTCTGATCTTCTTTAAAGATCAAATTTACACAAGGAAATGTTTTCACAATTTTATCTTAATCACAAAGACTTTGTTTTACAAAATACTGTGGATTCATTTCTATTCGTGGGCTACCATTTGTTTGTGGATTTCATGGGAAAAGGTGAACCACAAAATGTTAATGTTCGACAATTTACAATTATTTTATATGCTTGATTGCAGTCTTTGGATAAACCACAAAATTAAATATACATGAAAATACAATTTTTCCTCAATCCATGAACATTGGTACCTGCAAAATAAATGCATCTACAGAAGTATCTAACAGTTCTTTTAAAATAACCTTCAGGGCTGTGCCATTTCCCAGGGAACAACCCTCATGTGTAATTTAGTGATAATGTGGATATGTGTATCTGATGTTATATGCTTCCAATCAGTATTATATCTGTGTTTCCTGAACCAAATAATGTAAAGCTCTGATTCTGTCCCGGCTTTGGCTATACTTTTGTCCTTTTTATACGCCCGTCAAAATTTTGACGGGACGTATTATGGTATACAAATGTCGTCTGTCCGTCTGTCTGTCCGGCGTAAACATGTCACACTGTAACTTGAGAACGACTTATCCAAATTTCATGAAACTTAAAATAGTTGTTTCTTATGATGGTCAAACGATCTGTATACTTTTTGGTGAAAATAAGATTAAAACTTTTTGAGTTACGGGACTTAGTAACTAAAACAGGTGTGTGTTTTTTTTCACATGTCGCGCCGTATCTCAAAAACAATTTATGATTATTGCTTAAAACTTTACACATTTCTTAGTTATATTAATCTTAAGATCTGTATACTTTTTGGTGATGATTCAAAATTTTAATTTTAGAGATATTGAGTATTTTGTTAAAAAAGGGGGAGGGGTTTTTCACATGTCGCGCCGTATCTAAAAAACAGTTTAAGATTATTGCTAAAAATTTACACACTCATACCTGCCAACCCTCCCGTTTTGAGCTTGAGACTCCCGCTCAAATTGCGAAATTCCGGAAATCTCCTGCTTGCCGGTCCGCTACTGCACGGGAGTACAGAATCTCCCGCTTTTGGATATTTTAAACTTGAATGACCAGTCAACATTAATTACGCTTTTGTGTGACTGATGAGGGTAGTTGTTACCTGTAAATCACAGACCATTTGAAATTAAATGGCTTCACTTGACAGCTTGGGTGTCAAACATAATATTAATTAACAATCACTAACGTCTTTTACCTCAAGCTTTGTACATTTGAAAACACTTCAAAGAAATTTCGGGTTACTTCCCCTTGTTTAATCACGTTTTAAGTGTAACCCTCCTTAAAATAATGTGAATTGATAAAAGAATATAAATTAATAACAAATTGAAAAAAGAATCATAAAAGGATGGTAATTTAATGATTTTGAATGCCTTAGGACAAAAAAATAATTATATTTTGAAAATCATTTAAAAGATCTATACTGTACTTCTATTCAATGTTTTAATTGAAATTGATAAGGAATGTATTGAACTTACGATAAAGAAATGTGAATGTACATACATATAAACCATTACCATTAGGTATAATATGGTTTATCATTCAAAACAAATATCTCAGAGATATGCTAGCCTGATTGGACACAAATGTAAAGTCGATGAAAAAGGAAAAAAACAAACAACACACCTTGTATAGGATATGAAACTCTTATTTGTGTTTTGTAGATGAATATATAAACAGGTCATATATTTCAATTGAAAATGTCGTTTGCGCAAAATCTCCCCCTCATCTGTCATAGCTGAGGGGGAGATCTCCCTCTTTGAAGGTTTCAGAGGTTGGCAGGTATGCACACTTCTTAGTTATATTAATCTAAAGATCTGTATACTTTTTGGTTTTGATTCATTTTTGAGATATTGATTTTTTTTTATAAAAAGGGGGGTTTTCACATGTCGCGCCGTATCTCAAAAACGATATATGATTATTGCTTAAAATTTTACACACTTCTTTGTTATATTAATCTGTATACTTTTTGGTTTTGATTCAAAATTTTATTTTAGAGAATTTGAGTTTTTGTAAAAACAAAGGGGGTTTTCCCATGTCAGGCCGTATGTCAGAAACTATTTATGATTATTGCATAAAAATTCACACACAAGACGACGGGCGTATCATGCGCTCATGGCACAGCTGTTTACTGATTTATAAGCTCTTCAATTATTTTTGGAGTTTGGGATTTTTAAATATTTTGGCATCCAGCATCAATAATCCATGTCATAGTATTGTGTTTAGTTTTTATGCATTAAGAGTTTTGCCTTCTTGAGGTTATCCCCTCATAATTTACATAAACATATACTGTTAAATGAAATTAAGTTATACTTTCCCAATGTTATTTTTCTTCCTATAGTATTTTGTTATTTGATAGAATTTGTTCTGTTGCTAGCCTGTGCAGAAAATGATTTTGCCAGATTTGTCCTTAATAACTGGGTCACAAAGATATGAAGTGAGGTCTATGAATCTGTTATTTCGGCTAGTTGTTCCTTTAAATGTTTTGATTGTCTATTTTATATTCAAAAAGGAGGGGATACCTTAATATATCTAATTCAAAGTAAGTTAAGATACATTATTGGGGAATGTAGCTGCCAAAATCTTACTAATGTTCTTTACAAAATTAATTTGATTTTTTTAATTTTTGATGAAATCTTATATTTCAGGATGGTAGCAGCAGCCTGCAGATTACAACAGACAAACCAACAAAAAGGAATGGCAAGTCATGATGCTTGGAATAAATCTACTGTGCCATTTATTGCTGCTACCAAGGTAAATTTCCAGTATCAGGCTTTAATTTTGTAAATTTCTGAGGCTGAAAAAAGTCAGATTAATTAATGCTATTTCACTTAAAAAATAATAAGAATTTAAAATAAATGGAAGTTTTTATAATTGGATTCTCATCTGTCCAATATTTGCATTAGAAAGATTTTAATATTATTGCAAATCCAATGAAGGTTTTCCACAGTGCCATCTCTATCTGGACAAGGTATTTAAACTTTTGTAAGTTCACCTGTCCTATTGACTGAATACAATAGCTATTGTTCTCTGTGTGGTTTATTCACTGGGACCTTTAAATTTCTTCTAAGAGAAATCTATCACTCATTGATTAAATTACCCTAGTAAAAAAAATAGGCGAAAATACATGTTTTATACTCAAAACTGCATGTGATGTTATATTTATTCAATATTGATAATATATTTTCAATCTGTTGAATGTAAACAGTAATGCAAACATTAATAAAAGTTGATTTGACAAAACTTTCAACATTGTTCCTTTTAAAAAAAAAAATTTGTTTGACAAATAAAAACTTGAAAATTATGATGTTCAAAATTAAGACCTTCTAAAATGTATTCTATTACTTAACAAAAAAAATGCAAATTTCAATAGGAACATTGCTAAAACTTTTGTTAGAAATCAACTATTTATGTTTGAATCAGTGTTTATATTTAACTGATAGAAAATATATTATTAATAGTGAATACATGCAGTTAATGAGTATAAAAAAAGTATTTTTGTCTGTATGTAAGATAATTTTTTTACTCAGGTAAATTAATCAATGAGTGATAGATTTCTCTTAGAAGAAATTAAAAGGTCCCAGTGAAAAAAACTACACATAGAATAATAGCTATTAAATTTATTCAATAGTACAAGTGAACTTACAAAAGTTTAAATACCTTGTCCAGATAGAGAAGGCACTGTGGAAAACTTTCATTGGGTTGGCAATAATTTCAGTCAGTTTTATATAATCAAACTTGAAATTGATTATCTTAAAATAATACAGAAAATAAGGGGAAAACTTGATGCAGAGAAATTTGTTTCTGTTAGATACTTTACTTTAACCAGCAAGAAACTTTAAGAAAACCATTTAATTCAATACACCACCAAGGTTTATATGAATTTTAAGTGATTTAATTACATATTTGATTTAAATTTTCAGGCTCACTGCCATTTGTTTATAGTTAGGAATTTTGTCACCATTTTATCACAGAGGAAGGTAGATCCTGCCACACACAATGTGTTGTCACAACTGTGTACACTGTATGCAGTGTATGGTATTGTGGAAAATATGGGAGAATTTATGCAGGTAAAGTTAGTCTTGATTCAAACCAATTCCAAACCATATGTTTGCAACCATCCAGATTTTTTATGTTTTGGAATTTTGTATCAGCGTTATTAGAATGTATATACTCTTTCTGATGACACTGACTAAAATGAATGAAATAGCTCTGTTATATGTAAGAAATATTTCAAATGTGCATTATTTATATATATCTTTAAGCTTCATAATCATTTGTCATTCAATGTTTGCCATGTCCAAATTGTTCATTGTGAAAAACATTACTGTGCATTCATTATAATTTGTGGGATATCAATTTTCGTGCATTATGTTGTAACAGGTGAACCACAAAATTAAATGTTCAACGAATAACAAATTTCCTGTAGTCTTTATATACAGACTTTGGCAAAACCATGAAATCAAATATCAAAGAAAATGCAAGTTTTCCTCAATCCACAAAAATTGGTACCCATAAAAATAAATGAATCCACAGTATTTGCTGAAAAAAAACTTTTACTTTTTTCTATGTATTTTTATACTCCTCTTGACAGAGTCATAGGTATATAGGAATCCTCATGTCTGTCTGTCACAATTTTGGTTTTCAGATGATAAATAGAGAACTGCTTTTTAAAATTAATTTGATTGAATTAAGTTCCATTTTTCTTTGTTTAATTTTCACAGTTTCAGAGTTACATGTATGGTAATTAATTGCTGGAAAATTCATAATTTTGTGATTTCTGGATAAAAAGATGGAGAACTCCTTTTTGAAATTGATTGGAATTTAATTAAAATGTTATTGACCACTAAGCAAAATCACTCTCTCTCTCAGTTACTGTGGGTTGAGGTATCTGTGATCACCATTCTAGAGGGTATTTGCCTTTCAAATTTAAAGTATGAGTAAAATTTCATGTAGAAAAAAACAAACGCAAAAGACATCTATTGTTGATGCCATCCCTGGTCAAATACAAAGTTTTAACTTCAATGATTTATTATCATCAGCAAAAACAAATGAACTTTTTCTATTTTAGGATGGTTACTTTAATCAAGACCAAGTTAGCATCTTAAACAGGAAGGTGCTGGCCCTGTTAGAGGATATAAGACCAAATGCTGTGGCCCTGGTAGATGCATTTGATTATCCTGACCATTTGCTACAAAGTTGTTTGGGTCGGTATGATGGACAGGTGTATGAAGCTCTGTATGAATATTCCAAATCATCTCCTTTGAACAATACGGATGTAAGATTTTATTAAGTGTGAAACTTCAAAAAATTAAGAAGTGGTTTATGTAAGCTTAAAGTTTAATGGAAAGTCACATATAAGTTTAAAATTTGTCAAAAAATGTATCTAACCTAATCAGGATTTATAATTTAGCAACTGCAAACTTATATTAAATACTCTGTATTATATTCAGTTTGTGCTATGATGAATGATTAATAAACAGCCACAGCTGACACACAACAAAATAAAAACATCATCAACATGTTAAAAACCTCAACATATACAAATTCAAGATTACAGTGGCACACATCACAACAAAAATAATATTACCATCTGCAGTTGGTGAAAATTGTAATTGTCTACATATTTGTAATCTGTAGGTTATGTTTAACATATTCTAATTTTTTTGTAGATCCATAGTTCATACTACAACTACATCCGACCTATGATGCAAAAGAGGTCAGAATCTAAGAACATCAGTGCCAAATTATAATGAGAGTAAAATATAGAGCAAAACAATCAAGAGATTTACTAACTAGTTTGATATAAATGTTATACGAAAACATGGCCAGTATTTTGTTATTTTAGAAATCAGATACACAAGTTGTCACATCATAACTACCGATATAGATATAAAAAAAACTTTTAAAGTCAATTTGTCCAAATTTGATATAGCAATAATCTTCATAGATTCTAATTCAATTTTTTGTTATTGATGGATCTGATTTGATAACTGGCAGTGAATAATTCTCAACTACCTATCGGAACCTATGGAAATCAGCCATTTTGAATTTTGAACAATGCTTTGGGAATGAAATATTTTATGCCAAAATGATGACTGAAATACAATGTTTTGTTTATTTTGCATTATAACTGAGATCACTGTAATCTATTTTAAGCTTCGCGTAGTAAAACTTGGTTTAGTGTCGCAAATATCAGTTTGCTTAGCTCTGCTTCCTTTTGCTAGGTTAACTCAATTTGCAACAGAAAAACCTATGTTTTACATACTCTAAGCTTAATATTCAATAAACTTATCTCCTGCGATTTTTTAGAAATTATTTTTATTAGTGGAAACCACTTGGTTGATATGGGATGGGATATGAAAACCTTTTCTTCTTTAACATATTGTGGATTCATGACTATTAGTGGGATGCCGATTTTTGGCTTTATTTGAATATAAATGATTAACTAAATATAAGTTTAAGTTACTTTGATAAGTGCAAATGATGAAACAATGCTAGGAATGAAGTACCCTCTGAATAGCAATTATTTTCAAACATTGAAAAAAATGATACTAGATACTAGCAAAAATAATTGAATCCACAGTAGAATCATGTGCAAAACAGTCTAGCCGAGACCATTGATTGGCGCGCTAAGATATCCCATTGACTGGGTCAGATTAGGTGAATGTTCGTCTGTAACGCCCACAACTCACGATGTATTTATTATAGACATTTAAACTGTGGGGTCACCAAAGGGTCTCAACGTCTAAATAAAATAATTCGAAAAACTAATCAGGAATAACCTTTGTGTTTTGATTTATATTGAATACTTAAACGTTCTTTACTTGTGTTTTTGTTATGTTTTGATAATGAATTTTTATGATATCGGACGTTCTTTCAGCAAAAAAGGATTTAACTGGCTTTAAAAGTTACAATGAATGTGTTGATTATTATCTTTTTTTCGGACGTCAAAGCGATTTAACAATTGCGGTTGTCCAATTATGTCATCTTTTAACTTTTATCTGGTCAAAATTTTATTTTAGAACGAATGCATGATCAACTTTAAAAAGTGTGCAAACACAAAACATATAGACAAAATATACTTCTTTCCTGTCTTTTTCGTACTTGCAAGTTATTAGACAGTAAAAAGGCTATTTGGATCAAGCCTTGTGAAGTTTGCATTTACGTTTTTGAATAGGTACACTGAAATGCAGTCAAGTTTAGCGATTGATAATTCATTGATAACATTCTGGCGTATCACAAACAACCAACTTGTAACGTCTCATTTCATTGGCCGAAAGATTTAAATACAACAACAATTGTAGTGTGCACGTGAATTGACACAGGTGACCGACAATGGAATGTACTACGTTACTACGAACGTAAAAAACAATGATTTTTGGTCGAAATAATTAAATAAGTATTTTGTGAATTTCAAATAGTGGGGTCGAAATATTATACTAATAATTTGTGTTAAGTAATATTCTTTATGCATACAGCACTTGTACCGCACTATGAAAAATATAAGGATAAAATAAAATACATGTGCCGCTTTTATACGGATGAATGTATGAACCACTTTAATTTCTTTCATATTGACGCTAGGTTATTATCCTGACAATGTCGTAGTTACTTATAATAAGGATCTCATAATACTGATCCATTTCAAATTTATGATGGGTTGCACATTCCTCTTTTATTGTTTTCATGCTATAAAACAGAAATAAAGTAGCTAAGCGTTTGGTCATTCAGAAATGATGTTTCATAAACGAGCAAATTGTCCCCGAAAGATCGTATCATGTGTGCACGTGAATATAGATGTACTATGCAATGTACTATCATGGTCACCACGAAATTCAAATGAATTCAGTGAAGGCATGTTGGTGTAAAAAGGTTTGAAATGTTTCATCGGCGAAGATTTTATTTTTGCATGTGTGGAACTAAAAAATAAATAAATACTTGTGAGAAATGTCGTAGTTTATAAGGAACTATATAAATGTACTGTTTTCGATTTTAATTGGTTGAAAATTTATCCTTTAATTTCATACCGTAATCATAGAGCTTTGCATAACATTGTTGAACTATCCGCCAAAGTAACGTGTGGCATGCGTGCATATTAAAATGAAATACATGTATGATAAACTTATAAACGAAATATTAAGAAATTAAGGATGACTACTGTAAAAGTATGTACAAAAATGGAGTCACCTTTTATCAATACATTTAGTGAATAACCACACTGTTTAAAACTGATTGTTTTCTATGCAACTATTTAAATATTTACAATATATAATTTTCAACCAAGGATAGCAAAACAGTTAATTATGAATTAAGAAAGTATATCGCTGGAGTTTATAAAGTACATTTCCTTCCACTGTGCCATGGTTTGCCATCTCCATTTTTCTCTAAACAAAGCATGGCTGGTTACATGTTCTGAATTTACTTAGAATTTCGGGATTTTTTTTTCAAAATCAAGTAAACTAAATCAGAAAAAAATCACACTATCCTAAAACTTATGAAAGAATATGAATAATGAACATGACAGTTTATAACACAAACCCATTTACTATAAAAATCGAGCAATATCTTTAGTATGTAATTTGGTTATTTTTGTAGTTAAGTACGGTTTCATTTCAAGTACAACGTTAATTCATCAAGTCCATTGAATAAAAGATAAGGCAGGGTGAGCAACTTGACCAAAAAAGGCAGGATGACGATTTATGTAAAAAAATCAGGATAAACTAATAAATATAGTCAGGACCTAACAGACTGAAAAATAGAAAGACAGGACAGAGATAACAACTAAAAAAAATGCAGGACAAAATGTTTCATCCAAGTCCCCCACCCCCAATCAAAATAAAATGGTAGCTCCCTTGATCCAGAACCAATTGAGAGGAGACAGTTGAATTAAATATTTCGACGAGACTGTTAAGATTAAAGTTTAAAATTTTACATGCACATGTATAAAAGCTAGAATTGCCATGGGATAATCAAGAACACAATCATGTACGTGAATATGACGATGGAAGTTTTTAACGACCTTGACCGGCTACGTGAATACTGATCAGTCCATTCAGCTTTATAGTACGCGTGTTCAATTTTCGCAGGTATGAGGTCGAAGGTTTGAATTGACCAATGAAAACGATCGTTAATCTAATAAAGTTTGTTTGACTGATTATTGTTGTACGACCTTTCGCTAAGCTTGGCCGCAGTTCAGTATAAAATGTATAGTTTGATGATCTTTTCTGCTAACTACTATACTTGTGAAAAACCCTTGGCAACAGAAACATATTCAGCTTTTTTTTTAATCGACCCAATTTACATAGTAATGGACGACTTCGTACATTTTATGATCGCAAATAAAATATGTATATAATAAACTGTGCACTGTAGTTCGTATATATACTGAGACCCTTTGGCAACCCCACAGTTTAAATGTTTATAATAAATACGTCATGAGTTGTGGGCGTTACAGACGAACGTTCACCTAATCTGACCCAGTCAATGGGATATTTCAGCGCGCCAATCAATGGTCTCGGCTACACTGTTTTGCACATGATTCTATATGTCTTGCTATACTTTTAGCTGTCATGGCAGATAATACAAACATTTGTTGTGTAGATTTCTACTTTAAATGTCAGTGATCTAACAGTTGAAATTAATTAATACAAAAGAGAAAGAAATTGGGTTTTTTTTCTCTAAATTGTGAGATTTTACTTCCCTGTCAAGGGACTGGACTTCAAAGAAAATATATCAAATTAAAAAAAAAAAGATATTTTGAGGTTCTCACTTTTATCCAGAGGGTTGATACCTATGTGTGTGATGATAGTATAGTGCCATAGAGACTTTTAAGTTGTGACTAATAAAGATATCATAATTGATTATTTTAGTATAGGCAATGCATTTCTATCAATATAAGATATGCAAAACTTTGTACTTCTTACTAAATCCTTGTATTTATCACCAGATCTTTATATGTATTACTGAATCTTTGTATTTATTATTTGATCTTTGTATTTATTACTTAAAATAATTTGATAAAAGAACAATCTTAATATTGAATAACACTGTGATACTTATTTTATAACAAAGTATTTTTATTTTCTGTATCTATACTGAGTGCAAATAGAAATGTAACAAAATGAATTTTAAGCCCTCTTTGGTCCTTTTTGAATAGACATGAAAAAATAATCATTCAGTTCATTCCTCAAACATTTTGCTACATTGTACTCTTAACAGTTTGGTCTTGCTTCCACTTTTTCAGTTCAGAAACTTCTGATTAGTCTAATAAGGGTAAAAATTAAAACTTGCAAATGTTCTTCCAAATGTATTCACACTGGACCAAATGCAAAGATAATTTTTAATCTGCATTACTTTTTGATAACCTTTGCTACAGGGATTCATTTGGTGGAAATTTATTCCAAAAAGTGTAAAATTCATTTTTTTTTTTAAATGTGGAATTTGTAGATGTTCAAATCTGAAAATTGCTGGAAATGTTTTGTAGCCATTATCCCATATCATGAGAAGTCTTCAAAATCTTATCAGGATTGATTGGCTACAAAGAAATTCATCTGTTTAAATTTTAATCAAATTGAAAATACAGGAGGGATTGTGTTTCTATTGACACTCAGTATCAAATAATATCCATGTAATTTATTTATTCTTAAAAATATTTTATATAAAATTGTTTTGATTATATTTTAATGAAGTAAAAATTGATTGTATGTACACTGTAAGGCAGGCATAATTTTTCCTACGTTATAATGAGATTTATTTTTTTGTTACTTTAAACATTACAAAATATCTGAGAAATGGACAATGGTATAGATATAAATAATAGTATATCGATAAGATGATTAAAAAGTATATATTGTAAATTATAACAAATGATTTTTCCTTGTTTCTTCTAGTTAAGACATGAAATAATTGTGTATTGTTTAAAATTAAATTTTGGAGGTTACTGATACAAGGCAATTAAGGGCAAACAAACAAAAAAATAGTCTTGTTAGTCAATTTAGAAAAAGTAACATATGAATCAAAATTCTATTCTATCTTAAGGAACCATGATAAGAATTTTTATTTAGAAAAGGGAGGGTCTGAAAACTTTAGAGTTTTTTATTTAACCTTACTGAAAATATACAAAAAAAAGAAGCCTTAAAGACCCAAAGTAAAGAAAAAATTGTTATTTTTCTAAATTATCTATGTATTTTTACCTTCTTTCAATTTTAGTGTTCTCAATATCCTACCTTTATGACTTAACATTTAACTGTTTTTAAGTGTAAGGGTCCAAAAGAAAATAGCATAATCTGATTCTTTAACTTTTGTATTGTTTGTTGAATATTTCTGTATAATTCATAATAATTTGCATACAGTCAGACTTATTCAATGGCAAGAAATATAAAATTTTAAAGAACTTATATCGTTATATTAATTATTTTTGTTATATTTAATTTATTGTTTAATAATGATGTTGATTTTTTTTATAATTGTATAAATGTTACGAAATAATGATATATTAAATTATTAAGAATCTTGGTGTTGTTTTATTCGTAACTTCAATCTAAATTAAGAATCAAAGAAATTTGAAAAACTAAAAAGATAGCCTCATGCAGTTTCTCATAAAAAATACTGTAAA